AGGCTGAATGTGGCCCTTGACTCCTGATTAGAGCTATTGTGGAGATATTTGGAGAACTTTTCTTGCTGCTTTTGGTAAGTTGAAGGACACGGGAGGTCAGTTGACACTGATCAACAAGACTTTGGCATGCAAAAGACCAGTGCTGTTCAGTCTGGAAGGATCAGATTTTACTGACAGGCCATTTTGAAGCAGGTCTATGAGAGCCACTCTTGCCCTTGCAGAGAAAAGTGATACAGCGGAGGATGGAGAAAAACAACGAAAGTGCACTACAAAGTAATGAGAGATAAGAAGCCCACTGAAGAGGTTAGCGTTAGCTAAAATAAAAAATAAAAACAATGGTGCTCTGAATTTTAGCATTCAGACTTCTGATAATAAAACATACACGATGAATATTAGTTCAGAAAAAACTGTTTTAAATATTGAACTAATCTCTGCGCCTATTGTCAATTTGCTAAACAGTATTTAGAAACTTTATCAATATGTAAACCAGAAGTGCTGATCCTTTTAGTTTTATAGCAAGAAAAAAATCATAGATGATAAAAATTACATAAAATAGATGACGTACTCACAAAAGTCTATGCCGTTGAAAAAAACAGTCTATTAAATAAGTTGTTGAGAAATTAACACTAATAAATCTAACATGTGAATTGATAAAATGTATGCATCATAATGTACAGGTATGTATGAAACCAAACTCAAATCATCATGTAACTTGTTTTATGCTGGTGTACATGTGAAAGAACTCAGCTGTTTGGAAGCAAACGCAACATCAGAAGAACTTCAGCAAAACTTACAATAAACAATACATTCTTCAAAACTTTGCAGAAGTTTTGTTGTCTCTTGGATAGGAAAATCAATGAAGGCTTGCACCTGAGCTGCGACTGGACGCACCTGTCCCTCTCCAACTTATATGCTCAAATAGGTGATAGTAGCTTTTCCAAAATCACATTTTCCCAGTTTTCCGGTAAGAAAAGCCTCTTAGAAGCAACAACAAAAAAAGACAGTTTCTACGTTTTGACTACCTGTACAGTAGATGAACAAACCACTACACCAACTAAATCTGCTTCACAGTTTTCCACTCCAGTCAGCACCATTAGCATTAAACATTGGAATGTTGCAGGTGAGTTGTGCAAGCCGCAAGGCAAAAAAAACTTCACAGTGGCAAGTGTACCTTAAAGGTAAGTGTATCTTAATCGATTATTATTATTATTATTATTATTATTATTATTATTATTATTATTATCATGATTAAGTGTGTCTTAATGAAAGGCAAGTATATCATGGATTTTATTATTACTGTTTTTCTTTTACATTTTATACTTTTGTTGGATGTAACTGGACCCTGTGTACAACATTTTGTTCTACCACATGTGCCACATGTGGTGCAAATGACAAATAAAGAAACTCTGACTCTGTACAGGAGGAAACAACCAGGTCAAAGCTCTGAAACCCTTGGAGTCAGAGGCATCCTTTAGTTGGTTTAAGTTTGTCATAAAGCTGAACCAATTCTGTCATTTTTTGAAGAGAAAATAAGGCAGATTTTGTGAATACATTAACCTTTCTGCAGTATGTACAGAAATGGGATTTATTTTCTGGTTTCAATACCATAATACAAAGAGAACTTCAAGCACTATTACTAGGAAAGACCAAACCATGCTCAATAAATAACAAACCTATTGTCACATTTTAATACCATTAGCTACATTCACTCTGTGCATGTTGCTGTATTGGTTTCTGATTTTCAACATCAGCATCATGAAACAATACTAAAGTTTGGTGAGGATGATCAGAGAAAAAGTGCTAAATTATCTTTAATCAAACAAACAATAACTCTAAAAAGCAGATTCAGATAGATGGGACAGAAAAGAATTAAACTTCTTTTTAATGTCAAATCATCATCTGCTGAGTGATAAACTGGAGCTGCACTCAAATATAAAAGCAACAGGAGTGTAATCAAATACCTTAGGACAGCAGTCTGAACAATATGTAGTAACTGGTTTTTAGTGGCGCAGAGGTTAGAGAGGTGGGCTTGTGATCCGAAGATCGCCGGTTCACGCCCCGGCCCCGACAACATCAAAATTGTGGGTGGGGTAGGTGAAACACCCACACTTGCCCCAACCCTCATTCGCCCCACTCTGGGCCCATGAGCAAGGCCCTTAACCCCCACCATGTGCTCCCTAAACAGGTCTCTCTTGAAAATGAGTTCTCGTGGCTCAATGAGACTAACCTGGATAAATAAAGGCTAAATGAAAAAAATAAATAAATAAAAATAGTTAACAACAAAGTCCATGCTCAATAATACAGGTATACAATCCAACATTTATCAGTCAGGTCATCCGGACAGTTTTTTTTTTTTTTTTTGGTGCTGAAACGACTTTGTTGTTTTCAACCAGTTTGACACAACTGTCAACAAGGAAAAGGGCCAGCAATGGAGGAGGGGGCGTACAAAAGAGACCATCTTATCACAAACAAAACTGGTTTGTTCCACTTTGGAGTAAGCTGTTGTGGGAATAATCAGTTTTGTGTTGTGTGTTTCCTTGACTGATGAAGTCTTCCGGATCGAAGGCGAAACGTTTCAGCACAAAAAAAAAAAAAGAAACTGTCCAGATGACCTGACTGAAAAATGTGGGGTTTTTAGTTACTTCTTGTCAGATCCTTATATTTTGCTTGTTTGTCTAGCCTTTGATTTACTTGTTTGTTTGTTTTATGGCCATCCCTATTTAATTTCTTTTACTTTTTTGTCTCAATTTAATTTTATTATAAGCATTCTTGTTGCCTTCATGTCTTATATGTGGGCCATTTTAATACCACCCACCTACAGTTAATGGCAAACAATAGGTATTTTGTCAACAACACTGGAAAACAGAGTAAAAACAAAGAAGAGAAAGGGGCTGTATTGATGTATGTTAAAAGAGTTTTACAAGAACATCCATCAGTTGCTTCTTTTTTTTTTTTTAAGTGATTTTCAGGTCATTCAAATATCACCAAAGTGTACAATTTTGATTGGATAATGTTTTGTTTAAGCATCAACTGGCACGGTGCTTTTCCAGGCAGAAGTGTCATGTTTAGCCAAGCACATGTCCCCAAAGAACTGAAAGTAATCCTGTGTCTATTTCTGCCATTGAAGGTTTATTTGAAAAGGTGACAATGTGGAATCTATGGCGATGGGAGAGCTTCACCACACAACAGCATGCCCATTCTGCCATGCTGATAAATAAAGCCAGTGAAACATAAAGGAAACCATGTCAGCTAGCAGAATTTGTAAAGGCATATGAGTGCATTCCCAAAATATCTGCTTTATCAAAAAGGGTATTTCAAGCAACAGGAGCAGAAGTAGTCTTTATTCACCACAAGTCTTCATCCTGACCAAATAAACTTGGTAAAAGTAAAAGAACTTTGCAAAACCTTGTTGTTATTTTTGATCAAGAACAGCTTTCCTCCACCTGCGCAATTTCAGGAAGATTAGAAACATCTTGTCTAAAAATGATGCAGAAAAACTGGTTCATACATTTGTCCTGTCTATACTAGACTATTGCAATGGTTTGTTATCTGGGTGTCCAAAAACTTCTTTAAAAAGTCTTCAGTTAATCCAAAATGTGGTTACCAGAGTTTTAATGAGAGTTGATAGAAGAGATCATCTCTCTCGAGTTTTAGCTTCTCTCCATTTGCTCCCTGTAAAATTCATAATAAAATACATCTTACTTCTAACCTACAAAGCTCTCAACAGCCTAGCTCCATCTTATATTACAGAGCTTATGTTCCATATTTTCCTAACAGAGCACTTCGCTTTCAGACTGCAGGTTTACTTGTGGTTTCTATAGTTTCCAAAAGCAGAATGGGAGGAAGATCTTTCAGTTATCAGGCTCCTCTCTTGTGGAACCAACTTCCAGTTTCTGTCCATGAGACTGACACATTGTCCAGTTTTAAGTCTGGGCTTAAGACTTTCCTTTTTGATAAACCCATAGTTAGGGTTAACTTGGGTTTCCTTAGCTAGCCCTTAGTTGTGCTGCTATAGGCTTAGACTGCTGAAAGATAAATTGACCACATTTCCTCACTCTGCTACTGTCTTTACTTACTCTACTGTAACTGTTTGAATTTGTAATTATTTCTATCCTTAACATGTTTTTTTGTTTGTTTATTTGTTTGTTTGTTTGTTTGTTTTTCCTTCAATAGAAAGTACACATGGACCTGACATTGTTGTAACTCAAGGTACCCAGTTTGTAATGAGACCCAGAATGACAAAAGACTCAAGCTGGAAAGTGAACAGTGTTTATTATTGTGGTTCTAATATACATATATACATGTTGGTGTACTGGAACCCCTGGAAGAGGAAAGACACGGTCAGGATGGCCAGGCAAAGAGAGCAGTATAGGAAATTGATTGTTTTGTCTTGTTTCCTCCTTACAGGTGGATTGGCAGAGAAACTCTGTGTTGAATCCAAGGCTTCCAGGAAGGTCCCATTCAACAGGCGGTTCAAGGCAGGTAAGTGGCTGGAGGGCTAAGCACAGGGAACGAGGCTCAGGGCCAAGGTGAAACAGGACTGGATCCAAACGACAGGATGACAAAGAGGAATCAATGCTCCAGCGAACAGTAGAACTTGACTGCAGCCTTATGTAGAGTTGGGGCTCATCAGGTAGACGACCGTCAGCTGTGGGTAATCGGCGGCCATCTTGGGGCTGCAGCAAGTGCTACTCTTACAGACATTCTGTATCTGTTTCTCCTTCCTGTCCTCTCAAACCCAGCTGGTCGAAGCAGATGGCCACTTGTCCTGAGCCTGGTTCTGCTGGAGATTTCTTCTTGATAAAAGGGAGTTTTTTTTCTTTCTACTGTCTCCTTTGTGCTTGATGGGAGACTGCGACCAAATGAAGATTCATCACAGTCTGCTGCTTCCTTAGATAGATTACTTTTACTAATTGGCTTTTTTAATGTACTGTATGTGAATGTTTGTGTACAGTGCCCTGAGATGACTTCCATTATGACTTGGTCCTATAGAAATAAACTGAATTGAAACTGAATTCAACTGTAAATATTCAGGTAATTGCCCAAAATTTTACAGTGGATATTTACATTAGTCCTTATTATAGTGAATGTGGTAAATTAAGATTATCAATGAGGACTTCTCTCACATATGATTAGTCTTTCTCTGCATAAGGAATAGTGTTGTAATGGCTTAGTTCAGCACAGCACAGTTTTTATTGAGATAAATGATGTAGTTTGTTGATGTGCTGACACTTTAGAGCTACAGTTTATTCTTTAGCACTGTATGAGCAAAGGTTCAGAACAAACTTGCTTTGTGAACAGTCTGACTGGACGTAACTTCGTCTTTTTCTATATGCACTGTGTGTGCACTGTCTACATATCGATGTGTGGGTGAGGGAATATTTTATTAGGAACTGATTAATTTTTGATTTGCACATGTAGACCATGTTCATTAGAAAAGGTAAGATGGCTAAAAAAGTAACAACTTTGAAACTGTTTGGCTGGAGTTCTGAGTGGCTTTCCATGAAAACTGGACAAACTGACTCTCTTAGGTGTTTCTGAAAGACTGAAATAATAAAAGTGAAATGGGAGTAGGAGGGTGGGAAGATTTGATGCATCAGAGCTATAGATGAGGTACATTTATACTGTGGAGTGGGGTATAACTGATTGTAATCTTGTTTTGTTTTGTTTTTTTCACAGGAAATCTCTCCGTCCATTATCTCTATCTGCTTCTTCCTTTCTGGGTCACAATTATTTCTAAATTCTGTAAATTCAAATTGTATCTTTGCTTGAACTATCCATTGCTAGTGCTTTTCCATAAGAAAAATCCTGGTTCTTGATCAGTTTCTGTAGTTGAGTTGAGGACTCAGGGTTCAACCAGTTTGAAATAGAACCGCCAGTGTTGCTACGCCAAAAAGAGACACACAACCACACTCAAAAAATGGCTAGATCTGAATCAACAATCAACTTAACAAACGATTTTGGACTAAAACCTGACTCGGGTATGACAAAACTGAAAAATAAAAAGGTGGAAACGATCATTCAAACCAGTGACTACTGCACTGTTCATATATATATATATATATATATATATATATATATACAAACCGGATTCCAAAAAAGTTGGGACACTAAACAAATTGTGAATAAAAACTGAATGCAATGATGTGGAGATGGCAATTGTCAATATTTTATTTGTAATATAACATAGATGTCAGATCAAAAGTTTAATCTGAGTAAATGTAAAATTTAAAGGAAAAATATGTTGATTCAAAATTTCACAGTGTCAACAAATCCCAAAAAAGTTGGGACAAGTAGCAATAAATGGCTGGAAAAGGGAAATTGAGCATAAAACGAACAGCTGGAAGACCAATTAACACTAATTAGGTCAACTGACAACATGATTGGGTATAAAAAGAGCTTCTCAGAGTGTCAGTGTCTCTCAGAAGCCAAGATGGTAAGAGGATCACCAATTCCACCATTGTTGTACGGAAAGATAGTGCAACAATACCAGAATGGTGTCACCCAGCGTAAAATAGCAAAGACTTTTAAGTTTTCATTCATTCAACCTTTATTTAAACAGATAAATCACATTGAGCCTAGAAGACTCATTTACAAGGGAGACCTGTTTGGACAGACAAAACAGTGGTTAACTGGACACATGTAGGAGTTGGAGACGAAAAAAATTCCTATCAGACTTTTTTCTTGGCTGAGAAAAACCCCTAATATTGAAAAAACACCTTGCACAAACAAGCACATATTTACGTAGACATTCTGCAGAGCAGAGCATAAGAAGGAAGAGACAAGAGCGGTCAACAACGCCTACAGATGCTCTCAAGGTCACTGTAATCAGTCAATGTCCTCCGGTGAGATCCATAAACATTCTTGAGGTATGTTGAGAAATGGCCAAGAATAACCTCTATAAGAATCCAGAGTCCTAAATGATAACACAAAGTTTTTTCAGCGGGGTTTCATCTGGTTATCGGTTGGAAATTCCTCAAGGAGGGGGTGGTGAGCGTCAGATCACATTTTCTCCAGGCGACATTAGATAAGATTGCCTTCAAGGACAACCAAGGCGACCAAAATTTAGATAAACACACAATTGTTTTGGGGACAGGCAGAACTTAATGACATCAATCTTCAGACTGTGTCGGTCTACTCAGTTCAGAAATGTCCAAATTAACATGGCCAACACCGATGGAAACGTGTCTGAGTAAAAATCCCCAAGATCTGATCCATTCAGCCGAAGCATTTGAGTCCGGGTACTCCAGAACATGAACCAAGCTGTCATAAAGGCAAGCAGCGTGATCGGGTCCAAATTTGCTGCTGACGACTTCCTTGATTGTAGATAAAACCAGCACCAGCTGAATCCAAAAAAAGCAGGAACCAGTTATCGAAAATCCAATTCCAACTTATCATCATCAACCGTGCATAACATCATCAAAAGATTCAGAGAATCTGGAACAATCGCTGTGCGTAAGGGTCAAGGCCATAAAACTCTACAGGATGCTCGTGATCTCCGGGCCCTTAAACGTCACTGCACCTCAAACAGGAATGCCACTGTCAAGGAAATAACAGAATGGGCTAAGGAAAATTTCCAGAAAGCATTGTCAGTGAACACAATCCACCGTGCCATCCGCCGTTGCCAGCTGAAACTCTACATTGCAAAGAGGAAGCCATTTCTAAGCAAGCTCCACAAGCTCAGACGTTTGCACTGGGCCAGGGGTCATTTAAAATTGAGTGTGGCAAAATGGAAGATTGTTCTGTGGTCAGAGGAGTCACTATTTTTGAAGTTCGTTATGGAACACTGGGACATCATGTCATCCGGACCAGAGAGGACAAGGATACCCCAAGTTGTTATCAACGCTCCGTTCAGAAGCCTGCATCACTGAGGGTATGGGATTGCATGAGCGCTTGTGGCATGGGCAGCTTGCATGTCTGGAAAGGCACCATTAATGCAGAGAACTATGTTCAGGTTCTAGAACAACATTTGCTCCCATCTAGACGTCATCTCTTTCAGGGAAGACCCTGCATTTTTCAACACAATATGCCAGACCACATTCTGCAGCAATCACAACATCATGGCTACATAGGAGAAGGATCTGGGTACTGAAATGGCAAGCCTGCAGACCAGATCTTTCACCTATAGAGAACATTTAGCGCATCATAAAGAGGAAGGTGCGACAAAGAAGGCCCAAGACGATTGAACAGTTAGAGGCCTGTATTAGACATGA